ATCTGCTACAGTATTCAGACCATTTATAAGCCCAATCAATTCTATTCACGTGATGGTGCTCTTATGAGATCTCTCAAGAGATCCAGTTGTTGAAGTTCATTAGTAAGGTGATGTTTTTCGCATTTTTTCCGAGCTTTGTGTTCAAGTTTAGTCGCCCAACTTGTATCGCCTTCCCGATACGCGAGCAGTGATTGGCTGTAAGTGAAATATATCTTACTTCGTTTAGACATCGATTCAACTTGCCGCTCATTGTTACTCAAGATAGTCTTTGCGATGTCTATATCTGAGTTTGAAACTTCCTCTACGATACCGTGTTGATAAAAGCCCAAATGGACGAGGGCCTTGCGCAGTGTCACCTGTACAATTGTGTTGCTCTTATCGACTGTAGCCTTCTCACAAAACTTGATTGACTTATCTAGGTGAAGCACGATTTGCTTCTGGTCTTCTTCGCTGTTTCGGCTTCTTGACAAAATGATATTTGCTTTGGCGTTGTTGACTTCAGCAGTGTCTTCGTGGCACTCCCCAAGCCTAAGCATACACTCTGCCTCGTCCACCTCTCTAAGAGCGTCCTCGTCTTTTCCCAAGTCATGTAGGAGATATGCTTTGCGTATCTTTATTCTTGCGTGTATCCAAACACTGAATATTGGAGAAAATAAATGTGAGCGTAAAATAAAATGAAACCAAGTTCTCGGACGGGATTGGTTATCTTGAGGAGCCCGAGTTGTCTGTAATCCGTACTCATGATGAACTAATCGAACTTCCGCTTCGGGGTTCATACGATTCTGTTAATCTTTCCTATGCTTACAGACAGAACTGTACTCTAATAAATCAAGAAATCACCCGATTAGTCACCCTATCTTTATACCCTAATTCTATTTTGTCAACCTTAAAAAAAATGTTTTACGGCCCAACAAGAAACGGCCACTTGATTTCGAGCAAAAATTCTTTCTTCCCAAGATTTAATTCCCGAACTCTTGGCTAAGGCTAAGTTCTGTTTCCACTCCGATTTTCCGGTCCCCTTTTGCATTAAGTTTCAGTTTCGTTTTCGATTTTCGGTCGGTTTTCGAATTACTAGCACTTTAATGTCAAAACAAATATTATGTTGAACTTACCCGTTGTTTGCAAAAAGAGCGTTAGGAACCAGACCATTCAGTACTTCTAAGGCTTCTCCCTTCCTAGAGCGATGACTTAGGGCAGCAGCGCGCTGGATGCCTGCAAACATTTTCATATCCAGGTCACTATTAAATCTTTGCAGAAACGTCTCCAATTCATCCCAGCGTAAATTGAACGACAATGAATTGGATTTGTTTATCATTCTAATGTATCTGCTACTTTGGAAAATCTCCGGTCTTGAGCGTGAAGGTACCACGTCAACGCTGACATCGACATGACGTTCTATTCTTGCCACGCGAGTTTGTATTTTCGATATGATCTCACTATTCCCTGACGCGCGAGAACTTCCGGCTATGTTCGATGGTGTATGATCGTTTCCCCGAACGGCCTGAATCTTCAATTTGTTTTCCAACCTTTCGAGATCTTTTTCTAAAGAGAGAAGACTGTTGCAATCGTCCTTTAACCACTGTTTATATCGCTCAAGATCCTCGGTTCGGAATTCTGTCTCGGTCTCCAAGGTTTGTAGCTTTACAACAAGAGTATGTGAAGTTGTCAGCAGATCTCCAACAGCCTGCTTTAGAGTATCTATATTTCGACTGAATGTGCTACGAGAAAGAGACACTTTCCTAGCATGGGCTATAACTTCATTTTTAACTTGTTTTAGGTCATGGATAGCGTTGCCAATTCTTCTACCATAGTGACTCGAGCGGCCTGGGGCCAAAGCGCGTGAACAAAGCGAAAACCAACGTGGTAACATCCCATTCTTCTACATCTCCAAAAGAAAAATTATTCTTGATCGGCTGATACTCTGCGCTGTACGCTGGATCGTAGAGCCGAGATCCTGGTGCTCGGCTTTCCTCTGCTAAAAACAGTGCACCGCTTGTGTGATCATCTCGCCATGGAGTGGCAGGATAACGATAGTCCCATTCTCGTTTGAAAACTATCCTCGATGCTTCGGTCGAATAATCGACTAAACCCTTAGTAAGTCTGAAAAATCGGAGTTCCCCATTGCTGTAAAGCCTAGACATGGTGTTTTAAAAACAATCAGAACGGTGAGGTGTTACTGACCCTTTGAACAAGCTCCCAGTTGTTTAATGTTTCGCTTTCTCATTCAATGTCTCTCCATGCAAATGAGGTTAATCTCTAAGTTTCGAAGAAGCGGCGAGTGGCACCTGAGATGTTTCCGTAATTGTCCTTGTGTCTTGGTCAAGAACGAATTTAAAAGAGTGGGGAGGGATCGGCTTCAGCTTCCAAGAAATCCACATGACTGTAAAGAGTTTCACGGAATCACTTGCAAGAAATTACAAACCCAGATGAATAACTTAGCCAGGTTTTTCCGTTGTTTTGATGTGTGTTTTGTTCTGAATATCTGTATCACGTGTCGCTCGGTATTAATAGAAAGTTCAACAGTGTCAAAGAGTGAAAACAAGCCATGTCTGGTATTCATATTTTTTTTTTTTTCGCTCGAATTATCTCCTTTCCCTACGAGGTTGCTGTATTCTGTCAAAAAAGGTCTTTTAAACTGGATATCACTTGCTCAAAGCCGCCACGATGTTCCTGCAGCTTGCTTTTGTACTAAAGACGCCGCTTGTAAACGGTATACACCTACATATATACATACACTTTATTGAGCATCCCTGAAAAGGGCTTTTCAGCATCAATATTAAAAATAGTAAAACTAAATAAATAACTTGATAACTA